CGTCCTTCTTCTATGTGCCGTATCATTCAGGACGTGGGCGATCATGGTTCTCCACAACTTTTGTACATATACTGAACTCATTTTCTGTTCGTATGCATGCGGTTTGCTGTCGGTACAGATTCTTGATTATTCTAATGTCCTTCCCGAATATGCCAATGTTGCTGAGCATTCCCTTTGTGGCGTATTTTATCGAACGCCTTTGCATAATCTATAAGACACACAGGAATACGTCCTTCTGCATTTGTATTGCTGTTTCTGATAACATTATGAGCCTGAATATCGCGTTCCTTGTTCCGGTGTCTTTAACGAACCCGGACTGTTCTTGTCCTATTTCTGTTCTGATTCTGATGCGTTCTTTATTCATCAGAATTCGAATGATAAGTTTTGTTATATGGCTCATTAGGCTGATTGTAATAATAAAAACAGAATCAAAAAAATAAAAAATAAAAATGACGATGGACTCCTTTAATATAAAAGAAAGACAAATAATAGAGAAATAATCTTTACCAAAAATGAAGGAAGGATAAAGAAGATATTCAAGGCAGGCATTAAATTTCAATTTTGATCTTCATTGTCGTTCCTATAGCAACAATACATTGGCGTCAAGCCGAGTGCTAATCCAACATTAACTCACCAGACGACTTTAACTGGTTCGTGTAGATTCCTCAATGTCATTAATTCACGCTTTTTTTTTTCCTATTTTCTTTTTTTTTTGTCTTTACGTTCAGGGGTCGTCCCATTTGTAATTTCCTTGTCGCGTTTCAGAATATTTGTTTGTCTCTGGAATCATAATGAATCGGCCATATTTTTCATAATTCTCAAAGTTATTTATGGCGATAGTTTGTCATTATTCTTTAAATAATGAACTGACAGATATAGATAAACAAAAGAAGATTGGAGAGAAAGACGAAAGGAATTAAAAGAAGGAAGAGACAGAGGAAGTAGTGAAGGAGAAGAGATATTATATTTGCAGTAATTCTCAAAAACGAACTGGTAAATAAATAAGAGAGAGAAAGAGGGGAGAGAGAGGGAAAGAGAGAGAGAGGGAAAGAAGAGAGAGAGGGAAAGAGAGAGAGAGAGGGAAAGAGAGAGAGAGAGGGAAAGAGAGAGAGAGAGAAATTGAAGAGAGGAAGAGAAAGAAAAATAAGAGCGATATGGCGAAAGAGAGAGAGAGAGAGAGAATATGAGCCAAAGAAAAGGTAAAAAGAGAAATAGAAAGAGAAAAAGATAAAAAATAGAGGAAATATTTGATATATATACACACATATATATATATAGCGAGAGAGAGAGAGAGAGAGAGAGAGAGTGAGGGAGAGAAAGAAAGGAAGAGAGAGAAAAAGAAAACACAAAAAACGGAAGAGAAATAGAGAGAGAGGAAAAAAGAGAAAAAAACAAAAAAGAGAGAAAGGAGAAGAACGAGAGATGAGGGGTCAGAAAAAGAAAGAAAGAGAGAAAGAGAAAAATATAAAGAGAGATGACAAGGTAGAGTACGATTGAAAAAAAGGTAAAAGAGTGAAAAGGAAAGAGAAAGAGTGGGGACATAAGTGATTTATATATATATATAGAGAGAGAGAGGAGAGAAAGAAAGGGAAAAGGAAAAGAAAATGGCGCGAGGAAAAGAAAAAGAGTAAGAGAGATGAAGAAAGACAGTATGAACGAAAGAAAAATCAAAAATTGAAAGAGAAAAAAGAAAATAGAGAAAAAGAGAGGGAAAATGTAAAATATAAAAGAGAGACGAGAACGAAAAGGAAAGAGAGAGATTGAAAGAGAAAAATAAAAAAATAAAGAAGGATGAGGAGAGAGAAAAAGAGAGATTAGCCAAAAATAGAAATGACCAGAGAAAGAAAGAAAATTAGAAGGAAAGAAAGAAAAAAACAAAAGAAAATACGAAAAATAGAGATAAATAAACAGAGATATGAAAGATAGAAAAAATAAAGAAAGAAAGAAAAAAAAAGAGTGAGATGAAGAGAGAATGAGGAGAAAAAAGAAAGCGAGTTTGAATGAGAGAAAAGCGAGAAATGGAAAGAAGAGAGAGAGAGAAAGTATGAAAAAGGGAGAAAGGAAAATGAGAGATAGGAGAGAAAGAAAGGAATAGAGAAAAATGCAGAGAGAAGGAGAAAGAGAGATAGATAGAGAAAGTATGAGAGGAAAAGAAATGAGAAATGGTAAGAGAAAGAGAAAGAGAAATGGGGAGAAAAAGAATTTTAAAAAAGAAAAAAGAGATAACGTAATGATTAGAGAGAAAAGCAGAAAAGAGAAAGAACAAGAAAAGATGGCGACAAAAAGAGCAAGAGCAAAAAGAGAAAGAGAGATGGGGATAGAAAAAAAGAAAGAGAAAAACGAAAAGAATGATGAAAGGAATAAAATCTACAGAGAAAGATAAAGAGGAAAATAGAAAGAACGCATGAAGAGAGAGAGAGAGAGAGAGAGAGAGAGAGAGAACGAAAGAAACAAACTAAGAGCAAGGTGTAAGAGAATTTGAATATAGAGAAACGAGAGAAAAACAGTATTGGGTTGGTGCATAATTATCAGGCGTTTTTTAAACAATATTTATTTTGAAAAAGGAAACATAACAATTCAAATAAAGCATTTTTAAATGATTATTCCGGAACGTATGATTATCTACATCCATTTTTATAATCTAAAAATAAAATAATATTTTTTTAAAATGTAAACAAAACAGTAATTTTTATTAACAAATAACTCGCCTACAAAAACGCCTGTTAATTATGCACCAACCCAGTATGTGTAAATTTTAAATAAACACATAGAAAAAGGTGGGAATCTCTTTTTACACACACACATGCACGCACACAGACACAAACACACACACACACGAAATATATATATATATATATATATATATATATATATATATATGGAAAGAGAGAGAGAGAGAGAGAGAGAGAGAGAGAGAGAGAGAGAGAGAAAGCAGAAAGAAAAAAGAAAGAAGTTAGGTGTGAAGCTTGTTTATGTGTTAGGCTTTTTCGGGTTCTCATTAATACGGGGTGGTGTTCGAGCCCAATCAAAACCAACGTTTCGAATGCTGATTTTCAATGCAAACAGCCTGTTCCCCGTTGGAAGATTGATTTAAAACTATTACAATTTATCTCGTCTGATATTGTGTCGCCAATAAAGTAGGCGTAGTGGTATGTATATATATATATATATATATATATATATATATATATATATATATATATATATATATATATAGGTAATAATATGTTGGTAAACAATCCAAGTGAATCCTATTAAGAAAAATATCAAAACTGATTCGCATAGAGGGCTCGATGTTTTATTCAGAGTATACATTACATCCAATAGGAATTAAGATTACTTTTGGGTAATAGCCATTCCACCTTCAAATTAAATTCAATTGTCAGGATTTTCAAACCACTAAATGTATAAGAAAAATTCAAAATCTCTCCCTTTCAGATATATATATATATATATATATATATATATATATATATATATATATATATATATATAATAAAAGGCTCAAGTGTTTTTTATATGATATTCTTACTCTGTTCTGTCCATTGAGTTCTACGGGATTCTATCCTCTTGGAATAATATATATATATATTATATATATATATATATATATATATATATATATATATATATATTGACCACTAATATTATCTATCTATGTATCTATCTATCTATATTGACCACTAATATTTTCTATCTATCTATCTATCTATCTATCTATCTATCTATATATATATTCTGTTTGTACGTTATTTTTATAGATACAATTATTCAAGTAAATGCTCTGTTCATAATATACAGTATTAGGTGGTGCGCCCTCAAGGTTACATGGCCCAGTCCTTAAAGACGTCGGTCAGATCCAATGACTTGACCCAAAGAGTTGTGTTGTGTCCGAATTTCCGAGCTGCATATCTATATTAATGTATATTTGGGCACCAACCTTTCTTTTAAGCATGTTTCGTTGAATATGACAGCCAAGGAAAATTTAATCTTTTATTGAGTTTTTCCATCTTTCTTATCTTTCAGTTTGGTGGGAGTGCAAACATTTTCCGTATTGTGTGTTGTCCCAATCGCTTTGAGTCACTTCTTCAGCTTTTTTCAATGGGGTTTCATCGATGGTGTTGTCAATTTCTCTTCATGTTTTGACTGTCTAAGATGTGTTTTTGTGTCGTTTTGAATACCACTTGGCGCGTTTATTCCGAGCTTAAATATACACTAGCAGCATGGCCCGGCGTTTCCCGTGCTTAATTCAAAAATCGTACGACTCATACACCAATCGCTATCATTTGACTTAAAATATTTTGCCCTTCCTTGCCTTTAAAGGAGTGCCCTTTGCCGTGCTGATGTTGCTACATGCCTTACTTCTTGCCTATCTCACACTGCTAATTTTTTCTAAGCTCTATACTAAACATTAAATCTGTTACGGAAAAAGAACTAAACAAAATGAACACAAAACGATCAGCTTTAAAAAAGGACACGTAACTGGAAAAACTGAATGAAAAAAGAATGTTAACAACAAATACTTTTTCACACCCAACCCAGTTCTGCGGAATCAGAATCAACGTTGATTTTAAGCAAGCGAATGAGCCAATTGGAGTAAAGTGCCATGCAGATTTAAATTTTTCCACTTGTGACGAATGCAGCTATCGATATTTTTGTATGCTAGCATGCTAGTTAACATTCGTGTCAGTTAGCTGTTGCCTCTCACGCTGGCCAATAGAATCTTCCTGCCTATTCGTGGCAGCCAGCTATAGGCTCTCACTCTGGCCAGTAGAAAATGGCCACAAACTACATGAAAACTGCCGTAGAAGCATGGAAAAATTGATTATTTCCACTATCGATGGGAGTTGTGAAATACAAAGTCGGTCTTGGCCTTCCCGCTAACTTGGAGCATGTGCATGTAAATTTTGGTGCAAATCCGTCGAAAATTGCGGCCGTGCATTCGTTACACACTCACACACATCCTGCCTTTTATAGATAGAGATTAACTCCTCAGTTTTATGGGATTTCGTGTGGAATCGGTGAGAGAGAGGGCGTTCCTATAATTAATGATCGAGGCCACTGGTCACATGAAAATGTACTTAAATTGAACACAGACAGAAAGAAAGTGAACGATGGTCAGAAAGAACAACAAAAGAGGCAATTTTTTTTGTTTTTCCAAAGACTATTGCTACTATCTTATCACCACAGTCGTTATCAAGAATTGCGCGGTGAGTCTGTTTATGAAAGTGTCTTTGGATAATTCCGGAGTTCCTTGATGGCTGGAACCAATTTCAAGTCACTTAAAGGGGACGCCATTTATAACGGTCAAACTGAAATTTCAGGTGATGCGTCTAGCATGAAACAGACGGTCGCCTCTGGGTATTGCCTTCAATGTCTACTTTTATATTTATATACGCTTTATCCCTGGTATTGGTCACTTCAATACATTAATATAGCACACCTTAAAACTTTCCTTCAGCATCCCGACTCTAAAGATTCGTAGATGGAGCCTCCATCAGTCACTCCATCCACTCGTTAGTCCGGGGATCTATCTATCTATCTATCTATCTATCTATCTATCTATCTATCTATCTATCTATCTGTTGTGGTACGATCCACCTAATTTACATAGTGGAGTACCGACCATATAAATATGGGTTGGTACCGGGAAGAAGGGAGGAAGTAACAAAGATGCAATCCAGAGACTCTGCCCGACTGCGATTAAGTCAACCCATTCTACAGGAACGGTCTTCCCAAGAATATACCAAAACTAACTGTAAATATTGTGTACCTTTTCCTTGTTTCAATACATTTTGTTTACGTACATTTTGTGTTGTATTATTATTATTCCATGCTTATCCAAGCTTCAACACTATCTCAGACTGTTCATTGTCTATCTATCTATCTATCTATCTATCTATCTATCTATCTATTTCAATCTGTTGATTATCTATCTATCTATTTCAGTCTGTTCATTTCATTATCTATCTATCTGTTCATTCTATCTATCTATCTATCTATCTATCTATCTATCTATCTATCTATTTCAGTCTGTTCATTCATTATCTATCTATCTATTTCTAGTCTATTCATTATCTATCTATCTATCTATTTCAGTCTGTTATTATTATCTATATTTATCTATCTATCTATTTCAGTCTGTTCATTATCTATCTATCTATTTCTATCTGTTCATTATCTATTTATTCTGTTCTATCTATCTATCTATCTATCTATTTCAGTCTGTTCATTATCTATCTATCTATCTATCTGTATCATTATCTATCTATCTATCTATCTATCTATCTCAGTCTGTTCATTATCTATCTATCTATCTATTTATTATCTATCTATCTATCTATCACACGTATATATATATATATATATATATATATATATATATATATATATAAACAATAGATATTAAGAAACAATAGATATTTATATATATAATGCTCAATATTAAAAATATTAAAATTATATTAAAAATAGAGCGTTATAGATGTTATATGAAAACATTACTTTTTAAATATAAATTTATCCCTGGCTAAAATCCTAAAGATAAAATTGATACTTAAAATTGAAGTAATTTAAGATTTAAATAATCTTTTAATATAATATAATATAATATAATATATATATATATATATATATATATATATATATATATATATATATATATATATATATATATATTAGTAGGATTCATGTGAGTTTTTGACCCTGGGTTTCACGTTATTTGCGATTGTCAAATAGCGTCACAAACTCACATCAGTCCAACTAAATATGTTAGTCCTATCTCTGATATTGAGCGCTTTCCAATAAGTACTGCGCATATATAATATATAAATAATTATATATATATATATATATATATATATATATATATATATAAAATGAAAATATATATGTGCGTGTGTGCGTGTGTGTGTGTCTGTGTGCGAGTTTGTTGAATATGTGTTTCAATTTCCTCAAAATTAAACGTACAGGTAACATAGTTGGATTACAGAAAATGATTGCATATATTCAATGCTCCTTTCTCCAACGCCAAAGACGTTCAAGATTTATAACGTGTGGCACTCCACACGATAATGCCATAATCTGGACGTGTGTATTGTGGGTGAATGCACTTTGGTAGATGTCTCTCTCCAGTTCTACGTGACGCAAGTAATCAATCATCTTTTACTTGAAGGCAGGACCAACTCTCGTCAGCCAAGCGTCATTCAATCACCCAGTTGACCTCTTGTAAAACCTTTGGAGACTTGCACGTCAGCGTTGTGACCTAAGCGGAATTCTAACTTGATGTATACCTTTCCTGTTGGCCTCCTGGAAGTAAGCGATAACTAAATGTACTTGCTGACTATTTTGGGACTACATCTACCCTGATCTGTGGTGTGGATGTCGGGCTATTAGCCACTGTTGTCTTTTCAATGCGACGACGTTGACTGAACTGCACGGCTGTCCAAAACCAAACCTGACCAATTTTACGAATATCGAAGCACTAAGGACGTGTCATGTTCAAGATGGCAGCCATTCATCGAAAGGACCATCCAGTCTAATGTAGACGCACAATCCGATCATTTTCAAAGAAAGAAAAAATAATAGACAGAAAAAATAAAGAAAGCAAGCAAACACAGGAAGAAAGTAGAAAGAAAGTAAATGACGAAGAAAGAAAGTAAAATATGAAAGAAATGAACAGAAGAAAATGACTGGAAACAAAAGAAAGAAAGAAAGAAAGAAAGAAAGAAAGAAAAAAGTAGAAGAAAAGAAAAAAAAGACAAATAAATAGAGAAAAAGTGTAAAAAGACTGAAAAAAGACAAATAAAAGAGAAAAGTGAAAAAAAAGACAAAAATAGATGTAAATAGAAAGAAAAAGAAAGAAAGAAAAAAGAAAAGAAAAGTAGAGAAAGACTGAAAAAAAAAAGACAAATAAATAGAGAAAAGTGTAAATAGATGTGACGAAAGAAAGAAAGAAAGAAAGAAAGAAAGAGTAGAGAAAGACTGAAAAAAAGACAAATAAATAGAGAAAAGTGTAAATAGATGTGACGAAAGAAAGAAAGAAAGAAAGAAAGAAAGAGTAGAGAAAGACTGAAAAAAAGACAAATAAATAGAGAAAATAAATAGAGAAAAGTGACAAATAAATGTGACGTAAAAGAAAGAAAGAAAGAAAGAAAGAAAGAAAGAAAGAGTAGAGAAAGACTGAAAAAAAGACAAATAAATAGAGAAAAGTGTAAATAGATGTGACGAAAGAAAAAGAAAGAAAGAAAGAAAGTAGAGAGAAAACTGAAAAAAAGAGAGAAAAGTGTAAAAGACTGAAAAAAGAAAAGAAAGAAATAGAGAAAAGACTGAAAAAAAAGACAAATAAAAGAGAAAAAGTGTAAAATAATGAAAGAAAGAAAGAAAAGAAAGAAAGAGTAGAGAAAGACTGAAAAAAAGACAAATAAATAGAGAAAAGTGTAAATAGATGTGAAAGAAAGAAAGAAAGAAAGAAAGAGTAGAGAAAGACTGAAAAAAAGACAAATAAATAGAGAAAAGTGTAAATAGATGTGACGAAAGAAAGAAAGAAAGAAAGAAAGAAAGAAAGAAAGAGTGCAAATAAATAGACGGATTGATAAAAAAGAAAAAAGTAGAAAGAATGAAAGAAAGACAAAGAAGCGGAGAAAAGTTTAAATAGACAGAAAGAAAAAAAGAAGGAAAAAATAAGATAAAAAAATAGCAAATAAAAAAGGGATTGATGAAGAAAGGGAAGAAGAAAGAAAGGCGGAGAAGAGAAAGAATGAAAAAAGACAAATAAATGGAGAAATGTTTAAATAGATGTAAAGAAAGAAAGAAAGAAAGAAAGAAAGAAAGCACAAATAATAAAAAAGCAAATAAATAAACAGACTAATAAAGAAAGAAAGAAAGAAAGAAATAAAGAAAAATATCAAATGAATAAACGGATCGATAAAGAAAGGAAGAAAGATAGAAAGACCAGAGAAAGAATGAAAAAAAGAAAAATGGAGGAAAGTTTAAACAGATGGAAAGAAAGAAAGATGAGCAAATAAATAGATTGAGAAAGAAAGAATGAATAAAAAAGAGCAAAGAAATAAACGGATTGATAAAGAAAGGAAGAAAAAGCAAAGAAAAAGAAATGAAGAAAAGTTTAAATAGATGGGAAGAAATAAAAAATTAAAAAGAGAGCAGATAAATAAACGGATTGATAAAGAAAGAAAGAAAGCAAGATACACAGAGAACGAATAAAGAAATATGAAAAAAAGTTTGGTAATAGTCAATAGTGATTAGTAAACTAGAAAGATGGGAAAATAAGTAACCAATTGTCTTGGGGTCTGCTTTATTGCAATTATTCGCAAGGAAGTCTAGTAAATAAAATAGCTGATGCAGTGAGTTCAATTCTAAGTAGGTTTCCCACTATTATGGCTTTGTGTCAGTGGAGGAAATGTCTGACTGGAATCCAGGTAATGGTTAGTATGTTAAAGCTGCTTATCTTCACTCGTAAAACTGGCGCAACAAAATCTTCCCGTTTTGAATTTTTCTCCGACCTGGCCTTGTGAATATCAACAGTAAACAATAGTAATAACTAGCAGAAGAGCCCAGCATTGCCCGGGGATGTAACAGTAAGAGATAGATCAAGTATCGACCATCATAAAGACTGAAATAATAAAATTGACAAAGATTATTGTTTAAGGTTGACGGACACGCACGTCTTAATTAGTTTTTTTTTGTATTTTTTTTTTTTTACGAATTGGTCAAACCCAAACTCAAACAAAAACATTGTTTTCAATCGTTATGAGTCTATCGATTGAATAGAATTTTATTATAAACAATTGTCTTGTAAATAGAATTTTTAAAGCATTCTGAATGTAAAAATAAGGAAAAAAGTGTGCAAGACAATAAGAAACACTACCTGCCAAAAAAAGTGAAGTTTTGTTGAAATTGGTTGAAAAATGTAGGAAATCCGATCCCATATATAAACAAACACAGACACACACCCACAAACAACCTGGGTTTTAAGTATAACATGATATGAGTTGTCCCCCTTTCATTCTGGCGACAGAATCGTGTTTTATCGTGTTCTCAAATTGATTTCGTGCAAAAACAATAGTGTTTTTTTCCAATTTTTGGCGCTGTCAGAACCACCGCAATGTAATTTTACGCAGTCCTGTGAAGTTTTGTTGAAATCGGTTGAAAAATGTAGGAAATCCGATCCAATATATAAACGTACACACACACACACACGCACATTCTGCGTTTTATAATAAGTAAGATTGAAGCAAAAGAAAGTTTTATTCTTATCCACTTTTAAGGTTAATTTTTGTCATCTGATGAATCTTCGTACCAAGATGAATTTCCTGTTTCCCTAACATTTGGTCTTGTCTGTTCCTTAAGCTTTCCTTTTTAAGTCTTTTTGTTTGACTTATTCTTTCCTCTTCGGTACTTGTGAAACAATTAACTTGTCTGCCTTTTTGGGTTTAGTGAAACGGAGGGCGCTGATATAAAAAAAAAAGTCAAGGCCGAAGATCGAAAGAAAAGAAATTATTAAAAAGGACAAAGAAAGAAAGAGAATGAAGAGGAAGCAATTTGTCTATTTTTCTAAGGGCTGTTGGCACTATCTTATCTCGACATGCTTTATTTTCCTTGATCGTTTTTAAGGCCACGGTTCTAGAAACAAAAAATAAAATCAAGAAGAGGTGTAAGTGGATATAGAAGTTAAAGAAAAAAATGGAAGAGACGATAAAAGAATAAAATATAGCAAATGAAAAAGAAAGAAAAGAAATAAGAAATAACAATAGAGAAATAAAAGAAGAAAAGAAGATAAAGAAATAGAGAGAAAGAAATTGATGAACAAAGAAATAGAGAAAGAAAGAACGAATGAAAGAAAAACAGGAAAGAAAATGAGAATGAAAGATAAAATAAAAGAAATAAACATGAAAAAGCGGAGAAAGAAGGAATGAACATAGGGGAGGTAAAAAGAAAGGAAAAAAGGAAAGAAAGGGAACGAGGAAAAAGAGAATAAAAATAAATAAAAGAAGGAAGAGAAAGAGAGGGATATAGACAGAAAGAAAAAGAAAAGAAACTAAGTAATGAGGAAAAAAGAAGACAATAAAATGAGGAAAAGAAGGAAAAGGAAACTAACGTAGAAAGAAAGAGAAAAATAAATAAAGAAAGAAAGGACAGAAATTAGAAAGAGAAAAACATGAAGAAAAAAGGGGAAAAACAAGTGTGATGTAAAAAAAGAGAGTGAGTGATGAGGAAAAAGAAGAGAATAAAAAATGAATGAAAGAAAGAAAAGAAAACAAGAAATATGGAAAGAAAGAAATCGAAAAGAAACTGATCGATAAGGAAAAAGAAAATAATATGAATGAAGAATAGAAAGAAACGAAGTCGAGTAACGTAGAAAGAAAGAAAGAATGAATGAAAGAAAAAGAAACTGAGTGATGAGGAAAAATAAAGGAATAAAAATGAATAAAAGAAGGAAATGAGACGTGACGTAGGAAGGAAGGAAGGAAGGAAGGAAGGAAGGAAGGAAGGAAGATGAAAAGAAAGTAGAATAAAAGAAATTGAACGATGACGAATAAGAAGAGAATAAGAATGAAGAAAAAATGAAAAGGTGAAGAGGGGTGTAGGAAGGAAAGTGAAAGGAAGGAAAAAAAAGAAAGAAAAAGAAAAGAAACTGAGTGATGAGAAAAAAGTAGAGAATAAGAATGAAGAAAAGGAAAAGAAGAAGAGTGACGTGAAATGAAAGAAAATAAGAATAAGAAAATGTCGATGAGGAAAAAAATATGAAACTGGTACAAGGAAGAAGTTGGTAAAAGATTAAGAAAAAAAAACTGAGAACAACTGAAAACAAGAATAAATTTAGGGAATTGAAAAAAAAAACGAAAAAGAAAAAGTCAAAAGAAGAAATCAAAAAGAAAAAAAAAAGGACAATAAGGAAGAAAAACAGAATAAATAATAACTGACAAAAAAGAAAAATAAAGCAATCAAACGAAGAATGATAAAAACAATATAAAACGAAGAAATACGAGAATAGAAAGAAGCAAAGAAGAAAGTGATAAAAACGTATCCAGTTAAAACAAAGATGGCCGCTGATTAACTGTGAGAATAGTTTATCTTTCAAGAAGCGGAGACCATTTGACTGTCTTTTTAGACACCGAAATCAGCAGATAATTATCTTTACGCGCAGTTGCTAACAACGAACGAGCAATTAAAATTTTTCATGCTTTATTTATCTATGAGCTGTTTCAGTAACCCGTGATATCAAGAGAATAATTGATTAGACAAATACAGCAAAACTTTAATTCACCCTACTGATTAACTATATCGTGACACGGCAAATAAGAAAAGCACATATAGATATGCATTACAAAAGGTTTTGTGCATTGAAAATGACTTTACTATAACATGCATTGCAAACAGTGTTTCTATGAAAATACATTGCAAATGCTTTTACTATAAAAGCTTTTCAAATAACTTTACTATAAATGCTTTACAAATGATTTTTCCATGAAAATGCATTGCAAATTTTAATATAAAAATGCATTGCAAATGATTTTACTATAAGAATGCATTGCAAATAATTTTACTATGATAATGCATTGAAAATGATTTAACTATAAAAAGCATTACAAATGACTTAACTATAAAATACACTACAAATTTTCTAGGAAAATGCATTGCATTTGATTTTACTATAAAAATGAATTGGAAATAATTTTACTATGATAATGCATTCAAAACGATTTTACGATGAGAATGTATTGAAAAAGATTTTACTATAAAAAGCATAATAACTGACTTTACTATAAAATGCATTACAAATGATTTTACTATGAAAACGCATTGAAAGGATACTATAAGAATGAATTGGAAATGATTTTACTATAAAAATGCATTGAAAATTATTTTATTATAAAATGCATAGAAAACGATTTTACTATAAAATGCATTATAAATAATTTTACTATGAAATTCATTACAAACGATTTACTATGAAAATGCATTGCAAATGGTTTCATTATAGTAATACACTGAAAATTATTTCACTGTAAAAGGAATTACAAATGACTTTCTATGGAAATGCATTGCAAACGATTTTACCATGAAAATAAGTTACAAATAGTTTCACTATAATACCGCTTTATAGTAATGACTTTAATATAAAATGTATTATAAATGATTTTACTCAAAAATGCATTGCAAACGATTTTACGATAAAAAAGCATTACAACTGTAAAAAAACATAACAAATGATTTTGCCATAAAAATGCATCGCAAATGATTTATTATAGAAATACATTGCAAATAATTTTACTATAAAATTTGTTATAACTGGTTTCATTATAGAAATGCATTGCAAATGATTTCACTATAAAATGCAGTGGAAGTGATCTTATCATAAAAATACATTTAAAATATTTTTTTACTACAAAATGTATTGCAAATAATTTTACTGGGAAAATACATTGCGATTTTAATATATAATTACATTGGATATTTTTACTATAGAATATTTTTAAAGTGCTTTTACTTTAGAAATATTTTATTATAAAATGCATTAAAATGATTTTACTATAAAATACATTTCAAATTACTATAAAATGTATTAGAAATGATTTTACTACAAGAATTGTATTGAAATTACATTAGTATTCAAATACATTACTAAGCAATAGTCATGAAGAGCAAACTACTTAGTACTCGATGCTATATAAGCCACAAAATTCTGAATTTCCCGGATGAGGAACTATCATTATTTACACCAAAAACCATTGTCCCCACTTTTGTTGTTGTTGTTACAACGCTTTGGCACAATGGCCGTCATCAGATGCTTGTCAATTCGTGTAATCTTTAGGGGATTTCATACTGAACACTTTATTTAATATATGGAGTTAGATAGTTGTGATTCCGCGGATCATGTCTTGGGATATCCCGTTTATAGGATATAATGGCCCAAACATTGGGATAAAAACAACAAAGATGAGGACAATAGTCTGCGTGTAAGCCGTATAAGTGATGCTGTCAGCACATAACCAACAATGGTGCTCTCTTCAGCACTTTGATGGCAGAAACTTGGCCGAGAGTCACTACTTTCAATTTAGTAGCAACATTATTACTATTATTACTATTTATTTTGAAACTATAAATAATTTAATTAATGGGAAATTCAGAAAGTTACTTTCTTCTTGATCCAAACGACAACTTAGCAGGCGTTAAACTAGACATATTTAGTTGATAATGTAAGAAATTAAGAGAGAGAGAGAGAGAGAGAGAGAGGGAGAGAGAGACTGAGGGAGAAAGATTGGGAGAGAGAGGCAGATAGACAGATTGAGCGAGAGAGACTGATGGAGAGAGACTGAGAGAGGCACAGATTGAGAGAGAGAGACTGAGGGAGAGAGACTGAGGGAGAGAGACTGAGGGAGAGAGGCAGATAGACAGACTGAGAAAGAGAGAGAGTGAGAGAGATGGAGAGAAAGGGAGACTGAGAATGGGAGAGACAGACTGAGAGAGAGAGGCTGAGAGAGAGAGAGATTGAGAGATTGAGAGAGAAAGAGAGGCATGGAGACAGATTGAGAGAGAGAGACTGAGGGAGAGACTGAGAGAGAGAGAGACTGGTGGGGGAGAGACTGGAGAGAAACAGAGAGACTGAGGGAGTGAGACTGAGGGAGAGACAGATAGACAGACTGAGAGAGAGAGAGACTGAGAGAGAGAGACTGAGAGAGAGAGACTGAGGAAGAGAGACTGAGTGAGAGGCAGATAGACAGACTGAGAGAGAGAGACTGAGAGAGAGAGATACTGAGAGAGAGAGAGACCGAGAGAGATGGAGAGAAAGGGAGACTGAGAGTGGGAGAGACAGACTGAGAGAGAGAGAGACACTGAAGGAGAGAGATTGAGAGAGAGAGGCAGATAGACAGATTGAGAGAGAGACTGAGGGAGAGACTGAGAGAGAGAGAGAGAAACAGATTGAGAGAGAGAGAGAGATTGAGGGAGAAAGACTGAGAGAGAGACTGAAAGAAAGAGAGAGAGAGAGACTGAGAGAGATGGAGAGAAAGGGAGATTGAGAGAGAAAAAAAAAACTTTAATTCAAATCGTTCAAGGATGTTTTGGAACGAACCTAAAATAAAGCCGTTCTTTTCCGGGCAACATGTCGAAGGCAAAAAAAAAAAACAAGAAAAAAAAAAAAAAAGAATGAAAATTCGTCGCGAAAAACAGACCGTGGATGGTAGTTGAAAAAACTTCCTTTCGAACTGAAAACGATTCCACCAAAAATTGTAAGAAAATTCATTTTACAATAACATGAAATGGAGTGATTATATTGAGTCAATTGCTATGTCTGCTGCTTGGAACATTGGTCTACTGTGTCGTGACAGACAATTCCCAACAGAATCCTTCTTACACATTTATAAAACGACCATTCGTCCGTGCATTGAATACTTCTGCAATATCAGAGTCTATTAGATCCTACTATATATCTCAAGATTCTTAGCAAAATTCAAAGAAAGGTCTGTAATGTAATTAATCCTGACCTGATATCTCAACTTCACTCACATTATCATCAACGTGACGTGACTTCCTTCTTTGTTTTGTAGAAATATTTTCATGGCAATTGTTCCGATGAGCTTTCCTCCTTATTACTTCAACTACACGAATTTAATTGTTCTACAAGATTGCCAATTGGGTTTTATTCATCCCGCTCACACCCCTTCACTGTCGAAACTCCTAAATGTAGCCGTCTCTTCTACTCTAATAGCTTCATGTCTCGCACCTCTCGCCTGTGGAACTCCCTTCCCTATTCCTGTTTCCCTGTGAGCTATAATCTCCTGCTATTCAAGTGTAATGTCAATCGACATCTCCAGTTGCCTTGATCTATCCACTACCCTCATCCTTTCTTCTATCACTCTTATCTGATCTTGCTCTAAACTTTCTGTAATCACTTGCGTCCTAGTGGCTTCCCGCCTTGCTTGGGGTGAAATGCTTAAATAAAAAAAAATAAAAAATTGTTGAACTAACTAGGTGCAACTGTGTGTTTTATTCTTATAGTTTCTTTTCCCGCTTGTGGAATTCACTTCGGATTTCTTGCTTCCCTGCCGCCTACAATATAAATGCAGCATCAGTTGCCATCTTCTGTCTTCTTAACCCTTTGACCCCTACGTTCCTGAACAATTTAACCATTCTGCCTGAGACCCTGAGTCAAAATTCGCAAATAATTGATATGTAATATTTCACGGTAGATATAAAAAATAGTTACAAGTGTTTACCAACCGTTTAACCGGTGGCTGGGCATTAAGTCATTTTTCTTTACCACCGGTAAAGCAGTGGTTAGGGCTTAAAGGGTTAAACCCTGTTCCATTTCCTCTCTTCTCACTAAAGTCTTCTCATTTTCTTTGACTACTTGTAACCCTTTGCGCTCTTGTAACATTAACGCCTTGATTAATGAATTAAAAAAACCTTTTGAACAGCCGTAAAGTCATCAGAACCAAAATTGACCTGAACAAGGAAAGACACCACGGATCGAGTGAGAAAGCTACGAAAATAAAACCTACACTGACAGATTCCTGTAATTCTGACGAGTTCGAATCAGACACTTAAAGAGAAGAACCACAGTTTACTCGAAGATACTACTTATGGACCATGGCACAAAAAGCAATTGAAGGAACCAAACTTTGGAATTATACAGGGTGTCCCAAAAGTCAGCTAGGTATTTAAAAAATGTCATAAAATGCCAGATTTTTCATATTTTTTATTTCGTATTTTTTTAGGACATAAATTAACAAAAGGAAATTACCCCTGTAAAAATACATGAGTAAACAAAGTACCAAAATGGTGGAATTGTATTTTAGATTTAACTAATTCATCATTCATATTCAAAGAGAAAACAGACGACACTTCAATGCCAGAAAACCACTATCGGATTTCACGATTCGTTGGTTCATTCAACGTTTTAGTTAATATGGTTCTGTGACTTGCTTAGCGATTTTGGTGATACATTAAGAAGCGTGTATACATCAATCAATAAATCCCCCAACATTCGATAACTCAAGGATAACATCCGTGCTTAAATTCGAGGCTCCATTCAGAATTATTGACCGCTGTTATGGTGAATGTTAAAAAGAATACGTCTGTGTTAAATCGAAAATGGCGGACATTTATTTGATATAATTTTTTATATTTAAATGGAAATATATTTCTTATGAGTGAATTTGCATTCTGTCTAAAACTGTATTGGAATACTAAAATAATATGGAAGTTATATTTTTAAATCCCTACTGACTTTTGGATCACTCTGTACCTCCTACTGTATACAAAATGAAAGTTTGTGCATAGATTTAACATGTCCAAATGAACAGATTTTATTTCATAACAAGGTTTTGTGATTCACATCGAGGTGAAGAAATAGTGTAAAACAGATAACCTGCGGCACGAGGGTCACATGCGTCCGGTTTGGCTTTCTGAATAGCAAACCTAATTTCATGAGGAAAATAAAATTTCTTAAAATTTGGTTTGTTTCGCTTCGTTCTCACTTGTTCACTCACTCGTTCTCGTACGTAACCACATACATAAACAATCATTAAGTGTAATTCTTTTTGATTTTAAAACTTTCATCTAATTAACGTTTTCATCATTTTAAACTAGATGCCTTCAATTTTTCGCTAAAAAAGAACATAGCATAATGAAAAAAGGCTCCAAACTTGATATAAACAAAGTTTTATCGTCAAAATCTTATGTTATTGTTAAGAGAAATGACCAAAATGTTTTTTTATGAGTTCATTAATTTTTTTAATCCTTTCTATCACGTTCAAAATTTTGGTTAAATATCTTGTTTCGAGTGGGTGAAAGATTAGTATAGGGAATTTTAGCGCCTTTTTTTGGCGTTAAAACACATTGTTTTCGAAATTCTTACAAAAATCAAATAATTGTCGGATTTTAATGAAACTTTCAGAATTTATTCACAAATGAATGAAAATATTTTTGAAACTTTTTTAGAGAATCTTGGTAAAAATATATATTTTTTTACACATATTACTCCCCACCACCACCACTTACTTAATTTCATGAAATTTCGAGAAATTAAATTTTGAGCGCAAAAATTTGTTTTATTGGTTAAAAGTAAAACTCTTTGGAGAATGTAATTTATAATTATTTTCAAACTGTCACTTATTTCCCGAAAATCTGCTCCGAATCGTAAAATAAAAAATGCAGTAAAACTGACATTATTTGATTCGAGAACTTGTAATTGCTTTTATAAATAAAGATTTATTAATGATACTATTAATCTAAGAAAAAACTTTTTCGATGAATAATGAATTTTTACAAGAATTTTATTCACTTTTTAAAAAATTTAATTATAATAATTTTTTATAATTTATATACAAATCTTTCAAAATTCTGCATTACTTTGATTGCGTTAGGTGATGTTGTTAAGTGAAAGCTATATTTACTAATCAAAAATTGACAAGCTCAATACATATCATTATGCACTAAGATATTTAAAATAATTTTAAATATTTTTATATATATAAAATATTATGCTACGTGCCCATTTTGAAAGTATGGGCGACCATACACGACACTATCAGAAGATAAGAGCGATGACTATAGTGAATTTAAAGTCAACATTCCTAAAATTAGATTACGAAGAATATTTTCCAACATTTTTAAGATTACTGAGTACTTAAAAATTTTCTTAAAATATATTTTAACAAATAAGCCTCCCCAGAACAAAAAAGTTATCAACACTTGTCAGCAAACATGGCGACTCTCGGTTACAAAACACAGCTACTGTTTGTTTTAAAAATGCATTCTGTGTTTTTTTTTTAAACTTAAAGTAAATAATATTCGTTTCAAATCAGATTAATTATACTTTAAATGCGCTAATATTCCTCAAATAAAGTTTCAATAAAGTATATTTTATTTTTGGAAGATGTTTAATACAGAATAATATAATATAATATTTTTTTGTGATGACAGACGACTAAAAAAATCGCTAATCAGCTATTTTAAGAAAAAAAATCGAAATTAAACCCATGTTAGTGAGGCACCGTTTGACTTGCAAAAATAAGAATGGCTGATGTATTCTGGCGATAGACAGAATCAAGAAGCTCATTCATTAGTGGCGGGGGGAGGGGATGGAAAGAATTTAATAATTAGGAAAAGATAAAAATGGGGATAAAAACTGGGGAAAACTTCTTGAAAAAAAAACATGACAAAAGAGAAAATCAGCTTTGCTTGTGTATTTGTTTAGCGGCATATCAGTACCTTAGGGTAATGCTAACTGCCGGTTAACTTTTAAATTGACTTTTGAATTTGATTCCCACTGGGTGCCTTATACGTGCGTCAAAGCTCGGATAAGCTTATCAATTATTTTATCATTTCAATCCAAGCAAGGCAACAAAGCCACTAAGACGCTAGGAGTTACTGAGTGTGAGAGGATATAAGAAAAATACTTCTAAGGACTGAACAATAAAAGAACAAGAATTAAGAAAATAGAAGATGACGATTGACATTGCATTTAGATTTTTGAAGATCAAAGTTAACTGGGAAGGAAGATGTCGGAAAAGAGTTCCAAAAGCAAGAACTGAGACAGAAGAAACCGTTAACACAGAAATTATGATTACGTCTAGCCATTTCAATTGTAAAATTATGAGACCTTGTCGCCAATCTAGTACTGCGCTTAAATTCATGAAATCTACGCACCACAGAGGAAAGTTCATCAAAACAATTACCGTTAAAAGTATTTTTTAGAAAAGGCACAGGGACGCTATATTACGGTGGTAGGAAAGTGACTGAAGCCGGGATGCCAGATCAGGACCAATGATATTACAGATTCTTTTTTGAATTTTTATCAAGAATCTCTAATTATATAGCAGGAGTATAAGACCAGATGTGTGACAGTAATACTCCAGCCATCGACGAGTAAGAAATTGGAAGGGAGTTCCACAGGTGAAAAGTGCGAGAAAAGAAACTGTTAGCGTAGAAGTGGCATTTGCATCTAGTTAGATTCAACAGTAAATTGGTGAGACCTAGTAACCAATCTAGTAGCACGCTTAAATCCATGTAGTCGAGACTTAAGATAGATTCTAGAGAGAAAAAATGCCTAGCATGACACAATGAACCAACTTTCCTGACAGCAGAACTAGCAATTAATTAACACTTTCATTGCTACTCATTTGCCTAGTGCTGTCCCCATCCGGCCAGCCATTTTTAAAGAAAATGCCAAATTTCAACCTACATATTTTATTACACAGAAAACTGGCACCAGTGTGTTTTACAGCATTCCATTTTCATGGATATACCTGGGAATGACTTATCAGATCAGTAATGGGTATACACATGATATCTTTTGAAGCATTGTCCTTTGTGATTTAACGATAGATGGCGCAACGGGACACTCATACCAGCGGTATGCAAAAAAACGTAGGTTTCCGTACTTAGCCAACTGGAGCAAGATAAGAAAAACGAAGATCAACGTAGTTAGCAGCGGAAGTGTTAAATATACTCTTTTCATTTTATGTCAAAGGAAAACGTGAGACCAAGAAGTCGTTGGATGTTGCTCTTCTGGAGTTTAACATCAGCCATACTAACGGCAGGTAGAAAAGGTTTTCTGTGGAAATGCGCTAATTTACACTTATTGTCTTGTATTTTGGTTTTGCTACCATAATTTGGCATCTCACTAAAAGAGAAAGAACATTTTGGCGTATTTCTTTAATCAATCCTAATCGTTATCTCTTAACTTGCTGACAAAAACCTGAGCCAGAGATATAGGAGAAGGCAACAAGCTATTTATCTGACGAGTTTGAGTCAATGGATGGCGGAACTGTAGGGGGAGCCTTAGTAAAAGGAGAAAAACAGTTAAGAGCCACACAAGATAGAAAATTGTGGAGGGAAACGATTGCCTATTTCCTGAAGTGACAGAAGAATTAGATTGAGCTGGGGGTGATAGAGACATGGTGGAGTAATGGATAGCAGCTGGTATTGAGGAATCGGAGAGCCGAGTTCGAATTACGGTCGAGTCCATTACATTCACTTACGTGCTAATACCCTTGGAAAAGGCATTAAACCTCTTCTTCCCCCCCCCCAACTTTGGGTAAATAGCAAGACAGACCGGGTTCTATAGCCTTGGATGGCAACTGTTCGACCGCAGAAAGAAATGGCAACCTACTTCGGGAAAAAAAAATCTGCCTCGACAGTCATGTATCGAAAGATACATGATCGCCTTAGCGTGTATCACGCATGGCATATAATTGACTGACTGGTTGATTAAAAAAAAAACACTGTTTTTGAGTAGGGGAATCACTGTTATGTGATATCTGTTTATCAAGTCAGTTATTATACATTGTTTACATTATTCGGACTATTGTCCTCATCTTTGTACGCTCCGGCCTTCTTTAGGTGTCCTCAAGGACACATGGCACAGTGGATAAAGGCGTTGGTTAGATCCAGTGATAGGACCCAAAGAGTGTGAGTTCAATACCCAGTTAAGGCAGTGGAGAACTTTCAGAGGGAAATTAACAGGAGATAACTGATAACTTACATCCATTAAACATGGAACGTGGAACTAGAACAGTCTACCCCCAGAGAGCGAAATAAAGGGTTCAGTTCGACATTCCAACCACCCGAAGAAGGCCGGAGCGTAGAACGGCCGAAACTTTGTAATAAATATGGCGACAAAGATGAGAACAATAGTCCGAATAATGTAAATAATGTACATAATACCTCATCTCAGAAATATAATCAGTTATCTTATTATCCCCACCCAGCACCTCAAATATTTTTTTTAATCTGTAGAAATTTATTAAACCAACTCTTTCAGGAATAAATTTATTTCTTGTGTTTACATTGATATCAGCATTAAAATAGAAATTTGACTTCATCTTGTCAGTGATTTCTTTCTGTTTTTCATCCGTTTTTTTATTCAATCCTACCATTCTTGCAACCGATTCCTTTTTTCCATCCATTGAACGAGTGAATCCTGTGGGTCACGGCAATCACCATCCTATTTTGAACATTTTGGACTGACGTTACAGAATCACAAACAAAAATTGTACCAAAAAAGCAGAAGCCATATCACTTGAAGCAGCAACAGATAGACATATAAATCGAATAGAAAATAAAGGCATAATCAAGATGAAGACATTCCACACTACTTCAAAGAAAAGTTTAGGAAGGAAACTCCCATGAATACTGGAAAAAGTGATAACAGCTACTGGTGTTGAAAAATTGTTCTAAGCGAAAGATTGTATAAATTTCAAACAAAAGCAGTTATTGGCTGCCCGGTCAATGAATGCTGAATGTTTCCTTATAAGGAAACGGCTAATATTATTATTATTATTATTATTATTATTATTATTATTATTATTATTATTATTATTATCATCTTTCATTCCTGCTTCCTTTCTTTCGTCAGATTCCTTCATTCTTATCTACTTTCTTTCATTACATTCTTTCCTACCTTTCTCAATCCGTCTTTTCATCATTCCTTCTCTCCGATATCTTCTTTCTTTCTTTCTTTCTTTCTTTCTTTCTTTCTTTCTTTCTTTCTTTCTTTCTTTTGTACCGTCCATCTCCTTTTTCTTTCCTTACCATACCTTTCTTTCTTTCTTTCTTTCTTTCTTTCTTTCTTTCTTTCTTTCTTTCTTTCTTTTGTACCGTCTATCTCCTTTTCTTTTCCTTTCTTTTCTTTCTTTCTTCTTTCTTTCTTTCTTTCGTGCTTTTCATCTCCCTTTACCTTTCCCTACTTTTCTTTTTTTTGTTTGTTTGCTTGTTTGTTTGTTTCTTTCTTTCTTTCGTTGTTTGTTTCTTTCTTTTGTGACTTTCATCCCACTTTACCTTTCCTTACTTTTCTTTCTTTTTTGTTCCTTTTCTTTCTTCCTTCTCTCTCTCTCTCTCTCTCTCTCTCTCTCTATATATATATATATATATATATATATATATATATGTGTGTGTGTGTGTGTGTAGCTTCTTTATTTATTTTTCGCCGTTTATTCCTTTTCTTTTTTTTTTTTACCGCGTCGTTTATTTTTAATGTCTAATTTTCCGACAGTGTGATGGTTATCTGGGTAAAAAAAAGTGTAAAAGAAAAGAAGAAAAAGAAGCAAGACATAAAGTAAAAGAAAAGTTTAAATAAATGGCACACCCACCTCAAAGGTACCAAGCGAGTACCTACTCATATCTTTGCCCGATATCTGGATTTTGTACTTACTGATCCACCCGCCCCCTTCTTCTCGCCCTATCTTCTCCTTCCCACTCTGTCTCATTCACTTATAAACTAACATCTATGTGCATCTATTTGTAGATGCATGCAAATATACACAAGACGTCAAGTGATTGTGTTGTAGCTGAGTCAGTTGCGTATTTCCAAATGGTGTCATTGGTCGGTGGTCAAAATCGATATGAAAGCAAGACATCGGATTAAACAAGTGACTCTTTAATCCGGCTTGCTTGAAAACTACATGTTATGGAAGTCAGAACAAGCAATGCCCAGCGTGTCGAGGCTGTGGTCGAGAAGAGTCTACAGGGTTTTATATATATCAGAGATGGCACGGGGGAGTAGTAGATAGCGGCTCGGATTGAGGAATCGGAAAGCCGAGTTCGAATTCCAGTCGAATCCATTACATTCACTATTAAACTTCTTCTTCGCCTTCCAGCTATGGGTAAATAACAGGACAGACTGAGTTCTATAGCATTGGATGGCAACTTGTCTAGGAGAAGGACAACTCTGAATTCAAAACCTGTGGAGGGTTGTTTGGGGTCCTTGTGACACGGAGTGCACCAGGTCTCTGTATTCGACCCTGTGGTTGGTTCAAACCTTCACCACTATAATCAAATCATATGTCCTGGTGTCTGGGCTGTCTGTTCCTAGGAACTGAGCTGCTTGGCCAAAATACGTCGGGGAGAGTCCACCATATATATATATATATATATATATATATATATATATATAGATAGATAGATAGATATATAGATAGATAGTACAGGTAATCGATCAGTTGGTATATAATCCCGGTGGATCGTCGTAATATTAATTATTAAAACTGATCCACAGAGAGATCGATGTTTTTATTTTAACAGAACATACATATTTTTTACAGCAAAAAACCAAAATTACCTCGGGTAATTATCTGAGGTATTTTTTTCTGTATATATATATATATATATATATATATATATATATATATATATATATATAATCAAATGAATAAATATAAATAAATGTACGTGTAAGTGTTCACATACAAATAAATACATATATCCTTTGATGTAAGAAAAACAGTGCTCACTGCTAAATACCATAGCTATTAAGTATATATTAACAAAAATACATAATATAATATCCCTCGACAACAACTCGGAGTTCCATGCCTTGTGCAATCTTCAGGTACTCTGAAGATGACATTTATTATGAAACTCTGAGTTGTACTGTCGGCGTGGAGTATTATGTATTATATATATATATATATATATATATATCAGGCCTGACGATTGCGTCTAGCATGAAACAGCCTGTCGCCTCCGAGTGTTGACTTCAATGTTCACTTATATATATATATATATATATATATATATGGAGATAGATAGATAGATAGATAGATAGATAGATAGATAGATAGATAGATAGATAGAATTAGAATTAGAATTTGTGTTTCAAAGACAAAATCAAAGACAGTCAAGCGATACAGCATCTTTTTTTCTTCCCGGGAAAACAAAGCGTCAGAGCGAAGAAGCTGGCGCCTGTTCTGTTTCCCATCTGTACAAAGGTGTGAGCGAAAGCCGACATAAACATCGGGATCAACTGCGTGCAAATATTAAAGCAAGTTGCTCCTCACAGTGGGGGGCCTTTATATACATATTTATATATATATTTATACATATATTTATATATATATTTATACATATATATATATATTTATATATATATTTATATATGTATATTATACATACATATATATATATATATATATATATATATATATATATATATATATATATTGTGTGTATTTAGGCAGCATTTTTCATTCATACATGTTTCATTAAATAATATAGATATAATATAAGTGTTGTCTATTTATTGTGATTTTCTTTCTTCGTTTAATGATAATGTTATTAAGCTTATCAGACGTTATGAAAAGAATTTACATAAAATAGACAACAGTTGTCTATATTATTTAATAAATATATATATATATATATATATATATATATATATATATATATATAATCATTCGTTTTGACCCTAATTTGATTTAACCTCTTTTCTAAAGTAACTAATATGTTGATACAATAGTTGTCAGTGAAAATGAATACCCTACCGCCCCTTATTAAAATGATTAGTTTTCTCTATATCCATAGAAATTAATATTACGAATGTATATGCTTATAAAAGCAGCTCTTGCTGATCACTCACGCAATCATGTGGAAATTGATCCTAAATCACTTGAGTGAAATGGATCTACCGCCGAATGTTCCACCTGTCTACGAATCTGCGAAAGACCCTAGGGGTTTCGGAAGATACTTGCATGTCCATAGAAGTTGAGCAACTCTTTATTTTATTGAGCCTTCATTTGTCGTTTGCGACGACAAATTCACCGTATATATATATATATATATATATATATATATATATATATATATATATATATATATATACACGTTTCATTAAATAATATAGACAAGTGTTGTCTATTTATTTAATGTAAAATTTGTTCGTAACATCTGATAAGTTTGATAACATTATCATTAAACGAAGAAAGAAATTCACAATATTGATCCATATTTTTTAATATAATCTAAGCTTTCGGCTTACTTAAGCCATTATCAAAGATGTAAATCACAAACATATTAAACAATATACGGACACGACAGTGATGATAGTCTGTCATTGTTTACATAGTTGATCACTAAGCAACGATAAACACGCGCATATAAGACGCTAGAAGCGAAAATCGCACCGCATCTCATGACGTCACACATGACTACGCGAGAGTAGAATTGTAGAATGAAGTAAGGAAAGCCGTTGGTATAAACCAATGGCTTCTGTTACCAATTATATATATATATATATATATGTTACCAATTATATATATATATATGTATGTGTGCATGTGTATGTATGTATATGTATGTGAAAAGTGTGTGTATATGGATATAGATGGATATGTGTATGTGTGGATATGTGGATATATTTATATATGTGTGTACATGGGTATATGTATGTGTGTATGTGGGTACACGCCTATGTGCATGTATATACGTGTATATGTTATTGTGTATGTGTGTATTCGCATGTGTGTTTGAACATAGAAATATAGGTCCTTGCTAGATTAGATAATCGTTATATTTATTTTTTATATGTTTATATTTGATTTGTAACCTGTAGTCGATATTAAATTTGTCAAATTTTCTCAATTACACAGCGACCCTTTCACTTTCCTTCGCCCATCTCACTCCCCCACCTCGTCTTTCCCTCCCTCTTATTCTGATCTTCAACATTAGATCATCTATGGTGTGTGTGTTTGTCACCACGAAATGTATCTTTATGCATTAGACATCCGACAACATTCATATTTCTCTTACTTAAACCCCTTCCACTCACCTCTTGTAAAATTCTCTCTGTTAAGGTTTAATGTCCCCCATTCTTTAGTATGTTACCCCTCATACTTACACTCTGTCTAAATTCTGTTTTTATTTCCGGAGTTGTTTTTTCTGTTTTCTTTTTGAATTTGTAGGTCTGATGAATTGGATCGTATTTACGATTCCAATGGAATAAATTATGACCATGGAATATTAGTGTTTAAGCCTTTTTATTATATCCTTACTCTGTCCTGGACATTGAGTTCTACCTGGATTCTATCCTCTTGGAATTTTTATTCAAAAAACATACATGTATGGGTATTTATATATTTTGCATATGTATGTATATTTACCACTAATATTATCTATCTATCTATCTATCTATCTATCTATCTATATATATCTATATATATATATATATATATCAAATATGTGGTGCAGTTCAATTTATAAGACAATGAATCATTAATACAAAAAGTAGATTAATAAAATTAATGATATAAAATGGCGAAATCCTTCGCAAACAAAATTTTCAAAAATTCAATCTTAGCTTCGCAACGTCACGCTCCAAAAGTTTGTATCCGTTAACAATAACACATTAATATATATATATATATATATATATATATATATATATATATATATATATATATATATATATATATATTTCGATTCGCATTTAATTTTTTTTCATCTCGGTTTGCTACCTGAATTTTACCAAAAACAAAATAATTTCCATGCCTGAAGATGATTAAATGTACAGTTGAAAGTACTTGCGTATTAAAGAAAGACCTTATATAGCTTATAATATAAAAAAAAAAAAAGGATCATAACATTCATCGAGTGATTTGTAGTTTAATGCACCTTTGTTTGCGGGTTATTTAATGCCGACAATATTTTCATTGCTGGTAATATTTTTTTTCTTCAAAAATCTATTGCTGGTAATACCCCTTTCCTCAATAATGTATTTCTGGTAATAATTTTTTCTCAAAAAATGCATTGCTGGTATTAAAACCCACTTCTACACCTTCACAGCACCCCGACCCCAGTCTGGTGTGGGGGAGGTCAACGTCTTGTCGATAGCTGGAACCCCAACAGGTGCCAACACCCCGCGCCAGAGCGGACCCGGGAATACCA